TCCGGAGAAGAATACCATCTTCAAGCCTCAACTGGTCCCATTGTGCCCAATAGTTCTTTGTCACAGGGCTTAGACTAGACACCTTCTCCCAAGCAGGGCGCAAAACACTTGCTTTTAGAAAATCAATTATTGGCTTCAAATCTTGGGATCTGGCAAACGGTTATACCGAGAAAGTTATGGGAAGTTGTACTGCGTCAATACCATGATACTGTAACAGGAGGACATCTCGGAGTTAAGAAAACATTGAGTCACCTACGACACAGATTTTACTGGAAATGTATGAGACAAGATGTGGAAGAATGGTGCAGAACATGCAGTACATGTTGTGCTAAAAGGGGACCCAAGCATAAGGGACGTGCTCCAATGAAGTTATATCAAGTTGGTGCACCAATGGAAAGAGTAGCCGTCAACATTGCTAGTCCTCTGCCCCAAACTCGTGCTGGAAACAAGTATATCTGTCTGGTGATGGATTATTTCACCAAGTGGCCGGAGGCATATGCGATACCAAATCAGGAAGCTACAACTGTATCTTCGGCTATTAGTGACTTCTTCTTCAGACTTGGTATGCCATATGAACTGCATTCAGATCAAGGCCGTAACTTTGAATCAGCTGTGTTCCAAGAATGCTGCAAGTTGTTTGGCATCCGAAAAACCAGGACAACGCCACTGCACCCACAGTCTGATGGGATGGTAGAAAAGTACAACTGGACATTGGGACAGGAATTGGCAAAATTTTGTAATAGCCGTCAAGATGACTGGGATGTGTTACTCCCTCCACTATTGATGGCCTATAGGACAGCAGAGCATGAAACCACTGGATACACTCCAGCAAAGTTGATGTTTGGTCGGAACTTCGGTTGCCAGTGGATCTGTTAACAAGACGCCCACCTTATGAAGAGTTGCCTGAGAATGTGTCAGAGTTTGTGAAAGTGTTATCGGAAAGGATGGATGATATCCACCATCAAGTGCGTTCAAACTTGACAATGTCTATGACTTCAGTAGATCTCTTATCATAAGTTAACTTCATCGAATCAGGCTTTGAACCAGGAGACAAGGTGTGGTTGCATAATCCCAGGAAGACCAAAGGGAAGTCTCCTAAGTTGTCTTCTCCATGGAAAGGCCCATATGACATAATGGATCGTCTCTCAGACGTGACTTTCCGAATCAAATGTGGTCGGCGAGGCAAGCCAAAAGTGGTGCATGCCAACAGGCTTTGGCGTTATGTAAAGAATGTAGTGGAAGTTTTCTTCAATTACGTCATCCATTCGACGCACTATCCACACAATGTGTTGTTCTACGTGATTGTTTTTACAATAATGTAATTCACGCTTCAAGGTTGTCTAATATAGAAAAAGTACATCTATTTGTTATTACCTGAAACATTATGTGAGCAGTTGTTGTACTAAACTTTATTTCCGTCTTCGATTTTAGCCAAGACAAGTGCACCAAAGCCTTTAGTCAAGACAGAATGAACCTGGCAACCAGTATAACTAGATAAATATACACTTTTCTTACCTTAGAAATATTAGAATGCATTGTTTCATCAGTTGCGCACCCTCGCTATTAACGTTATTTTTGGCATTAATCCCATAATATCTCAACAGGTTCGGCCAGCTTGGAAAATTAAGGTTATTCCTAAATATATATAATAAGTTAACAATACAAAGCAATCTCTATAATAAAAGTATACTATTAAAAAATAAACTTGAAAATATTAAACAGTCTAACGAATATTGTTAATGAAAGTTACAATAAATAAATAGTATAGTATATCACAGGATTTAATCAAGAAGATGTATCGTAAATTTTGTCGTTACCATGGTTAGTGAACTATACTTATAATTAGGCTTAGGTGATCATATAGATCATTAATCATAGCAAATGATATCCAATCGCCAAAATTTTAACAAGCAAATTTAACAGTTTTAAGGAATTAAAGAACGGTATAAAGAATAAAGAACAGAGTGAATATAGAAATTGAAACAGCGTTTGATGTTATGTTGAGGAATATTTCAATTGGGAAATTTATAAAGATTTTGTTGACATATTTTCCGTGCTTAACATATATCAAGGATTCTCAAACTGTTGTACGCGTGCCACTGAAAAGTACATGGAAATCATGTCGGTGTTAGGCGAATAAGTTAATGTAAGAATTATAAAATTAGTAATAAGCCCAACTTGTGCTTCCCGTATAGTAGTTATATACACACACTACTCTCCTCACATGATCTATATTCGCCCTCTACTTGCATAGACTTGCCACCGTTTTCTTCCCTTCATATTGACAAAAATCACTCCACATATGCTTCAATTGTGCCAGAAAAAACAAACAAAAAAAAGCGATCACAACCTCCCCATTTAATCCATAAGTATTAAAAATCATAATTTTTGCTACTAGGTTTTTCTTTTTTTTAAAATTAGGGCTGAGTTTGTATATCAAAGGAAAAGTTTCATTAAAAGTGGTACGCGAGTCTGAAAAGTTTGAGAACCACTACCATAGAACATTGATGGTAAAATAAAATCACACCATTTAAAGTTTAAACCGTCAACTTTCGTTAAGTTAATTATGTGTAAGATTGTGGAAAAGTAAATTTTCATACTAAGTAACATCTTTGCAAAGCAGTGAGGAAACTATTTTGTGAAAATTGTGAAATAAATGCGTAAATTATTTTAAAATTATTTTAACTGTGACTGGATGCTTACATCTTTGTATAAAATGTTTGTATTGATAATATTTCTCTAACAAATCTACATTAACGTGAAAGTGATATATATCTCGGGAACGACTATAAAAGTTCCAGTTGAATTACCTTAACCTGATAACACTATCCACAGAGGAGAAAGAAAGAGGACATAAATTTCAGGTGTGGCCAGCTCATATGTGTGTGATAAGGAAGTTAAGGAAATATGTGGCTGCATTATCGTTACAGCAGCTTGGATCGTAATTTCCCCGAAAGGGGGCAGAAAGCCGCCTGGAGGGATCACCTGTTTTAACCAGTCACACCACTATACAGTAGTGTGTTGTCTGTCAGTCAGACAGTAGACACTATACGTCACATAAGGGACGCTTAACTTGTATTACCGTGATGTCAGTAAAACGTGCGCATGCCATAAATCACAAGAACTACAACATATGAACTTCAAAAGGAAGGCATAAAAATATTTGTGACTCTTAATTTTGGTTTTATTTACTCTTAAAACAGAAAACTTTCGAAGACCCTGTGGAAAAACATCTAGTTATATCTATGTATGGAAATATAGCTATATTAATATAAATAAAATATCTTCAAACCAACTGAACTTATTAAGGAATATTTCAAACTTTCACTGTTATTCAGAGCTAGTCTAATGTACTCAACAAAGTGTTAAGTATGGTGTATTACAAGCAACATGTTAATAGCTATTCGCATTAAGCTTAATATAGACAACGGTGTGTTAAGTATGCTGTATTATAAGCAACATGTTAATAGCTACTCACATTAAACTTAACAGTGTTTTAGCTATGCTATACTATATTTAACATGTTAATAGCTGCTCACATTAGGCTTAATATAGTAGATTATTATGTTAAATATGTTTCGTTACACATACCATGTTCACAGTTCTTCACATTAAGCTTAAGGTCATCATTATATTAAATATGTTGTGCTACACATGCCATGTTCACAGTTTTTCACGTTAAGCTTAAGGTCATCATTACGTTAAATATGTTGTACTACATATACTATGTTTACAGTTCTTCATATTAAGCTTAAGGTTATTCCCTAACTTGAAAGACTCAACTGAAGCTAACTTATGACTTTGTTTCTATTCGCTTATCATTTACTTTGTAAAGAGAACCAAATATGATTTTGAAGCTCACTTATTTCGAACAACGTTCCTTTTTTAGTTACAAATAAATCACAACTGTATCCCAAACACAAAAGTTTGCACGGTAATGTCTTTCATTCGTTTTGCTCGCCAGTGGCACAGCGGTATGTCTGCGGACTTGCGACGCTAGAAACCGGGTTTCGATACCCATGGTGGGCGGAACAAGATAGCACATTGTGTAGCTTTGTGCTTACGTATAAACAAATACATTCGTTTTGTATTCATATAAGGCAGAATCTGTGTAAACTTCTAACGTTTACGCAGTAACTACTTTGTATTCAAGCAACGTAGAATCTGAATAAATTTCCAATGTTTATACAGTAACTGTATGCATTCAGACAGCGCAGAATCTGCGTAAATTTCCAAGGCTTTCAAAGTAACGGCTTATCTATGTAAACTTCCAAATATTGATAGCAGTTTGATTACTTTATAAAACAAACACATACTACTTCACACTACAAGCGAGATGTAACTAAACTACCTTTTTCCTACATAATCATTTGGCAGGGCTGAGTGCCAAACTAAGCTCCAAGAATTCGGGGATTACCCTAAACCGAACGTACTTGCAAAATGTTACCAAGGCTGCGTAGTTTATGAAAGGCCTAAGCTCTTAGCAACAAATTGTTAACATTTTTTAATGTTATACATTTAAATATATAAAATCATGTCGATGTCTACACCACAGATCTAGAAATATTTCTTACTAAATCTTGAAAATATATCTGGAATTTCTCTTTTTATCGTCTACTTTTGGTATGTCATCATTTTTGTAACAGACAAAATGATAAAACTGCTACTAAATGTAGCATTGTAGCTGCAAATCATTGAGAGTCATATGTATGTATAGGTTAGTCCCATATTAAAATAAGAATTTTAAATATTGCATATTTTCAAATATTCAGAAATCCAGTTTTGCTAGTAAATTTATAGGCATTAAAATACCCTTCCTTATACTTCGTCTCACCTAGTGTTATTAACTTACTAACATTGATGCGGCTCCAGCATCACTGATCTCATGTACAACCAATCTTTCTAGTGATAGAATAATATAAAGTAACTCGAATCTGTCATGTAATCAGCTTTTCAGGTAAGATTAGACCAGAGTATCGTAAGAAACAAAACCAACCTACCGGCACAATTCTGTCGACCAATGGACCGTCACGGTTTGATGCTTCAACTGGCAATGGATGCCCTTGGAAACAAGGATGTCTGGTGAATATTCGGATAGTAACCAAAGTGAGTCACGTGACAAACCTACAGGTTTAATTTTTCTCAGCCGGTTATAGATGAAATGTTGATATCCTAACTTTGCAGAATGAACATCGAACCACGTATCGAGTTTTGATCTAAAGACTCTTTAGACACTACCGATTAAACAAGCAAAAACTCCAAACCCCACCATATACTTTTTAAGTTATGAATTTTATTACAGTCACCTATGGGAAAATAAATATGATGACACTGATAAAACAATGAAACAAATGTCAAGCAGCCAAAAATGAAATGCATCACACTAGGCCCACGCATTCTCGAATAGGGTTTTGGATGTTGTTGAGCGTAAAGCCATACAATATGCTATCTGTGCTCGGCCCACCACAGGTATCAAAACCCGAATTTTAGCGTTGTAAGCTTGTAGAATTACTGCTGAGCCACTGAAAGCGAATGGGGTTTAATGAAAAGTTTTCATCAAAATGATAAAAAAAAGTGTTTTTATGAAGTAAAATAACATCATTTATATTTAATGAAGATAATGAAACGAAATCATAAAATAAAAAAATGTAAAACTATAAAATTTATATATATATATTTTAAATGTCTACAGACTGATTTTTTATAAACTCAATTAGAATATAAAACTCGATTAAAAAACATTTTGGTGAAGGCTTAAAATAAATACCCTCACACAAGAAATGTAGACAAATAATATTGTTACGACAGCGGAAGTCACGTGACCCTAGTAGCACGTCATTGACTTCTAGAAATATCCTGTTCCTTCATGAATGCTCTAGCGTTTACTAGATATGCAGTAGTACTGTATATATAAGACGGTCACAACGAGACGGCAACAATGTGTAACTGAACTGAGTATTGTTGAGTCGAGCACGTGAGACGTTCGTTGAGAATTATAGCGTTTGCTATAGCGCGACTGTTGAAGTTAAGTGTATCGCAAAGTTATATTCAGAAAGAATAAACCAGTTTTATTTAAGAAAGGACTTGTGTCGCTAAAGTTTCGTCGGAACGAATTTACGGAAAATTAACTAACGAACGGAAGCGTAATAATATAGTTAGAGTTGTTTCTATACCTCTAGAATATAAGCTCCTACCAAAATAGTTAATAAGGCAATGTCTGTGGATGAAAACACCAGTGGCGTCGCTAGGATCATATTTATATATGTGTTTGTGTATTTTTTCAGGGAGGGTACAATCTTAATTATTCATTTTCGATAATTAAAGTTAATTTAATTATAAGTTTTTTATAAAGAAATTTATTAAATAACAATGAGAAAATTCCCAAATGACGAGTTAAATTTATTTGACTAAACAGAGTAAACATGTCCAGAGATTGGAGTGCTTGCCGATACTGGCCGACCAACGACTTTTCTACGATCAACAGGTTTAGCGGCCCTAAGATAATACTATCCTTGGATGTCCTGGTCATTGTCGGATCTCATATTCATGCTTATGTGTAACAATGTCTCTGGATACAACCATTCATTAAAGCAACTGCACCTCATCCTCATCCTCATTTTTGCCCAGAGCGTGGTTTAGAGGTTAACACTTCGGACTAGGAGTTGAAGGGTCTCGAGTTCGAGATGTGGCTTTACCAAACACGACTCGCACTTTTAGCTGTGGATTTGTGACAGTCAGTTACTGGCGGGTGATTTCCCTCTAGTCTGCAGTTCCAAAATTAGAGACAGCTATGCCTGAACCATAGGGTTTAACTGATTGATTACATAAGATGTCGTTCATGTGAACAAACATTGTTATCTTCACTAAATAATCCTAGTACTTTGGTGAACACTCTAATATTTTCAGTGAATTTATTAGAACTATAAAAAGTAATCCATTTATTTTTATGTTAAATGCCAAATGGAAACGTGTTTTAATGGTTGAGTTTTACACAGCTCAAACATACCAAAAAATACAGTGCATTGCTTTGGTATGGATAACAAAATGTATATCCTGACCAACTGCGAACCGAAGTTTCAAGCAAAATAAGGTATCACCAACCTAAAAAATAATATCTAGTGGACTTACATAGATATATAAAAGAAAGATGAGTCCACAAACAAACTATTCATAAGAGACACAAGAGGACTGATGTATATATGCTTACCAAGTTCTCTGTTTTCTGCAACAGATTGGTTACTTTACTTATTATATGTTGGCTATATTGGTATATGTATGTATATATATAATATATTAACTATTTTATTTTAACTTGAAATATATCTGCTGGATCAATCAGGTCAGGTAGTGCTAACCAACATAAAACTTTAGCTCATAGCATTTGACACTTTGGTACAGTTATAAGCACATTAGCTTTAGAAAAGTAGCTTTTCCCGTGTAAAGAAAGTTACTTCAGCTTTTATGAAAATTGTAACTATAATTTTGATTGAATATTGTTTGAGATGTCCACAATGCTAGATAACTCGATAAAAGGCCCGGCATGGCCAGGTGGTTAGGGCGCTCGACTCGCAATCTGCTAGTCGCGGGTTCGAATCCCTGTCCCACCAAACATGCTCGCCCTTTCAGCCGTGGGGGCGTTATAATGTGACGGTCAATCCCACTATTCATTGGTAAAATAGTAGTCCAAGAATTGGCGGAGGTAGTGATGACTAGCTGCCTTCCCTCTAGTCTTACACTGCTAAATTAAGGACGACTAGCGCAGATAGCCCTCGTGTAGCTTTGCGCGAAATTCAGAAAACAAAACAAACAAACTCGATAAAAATGTATTAATTTAACTTAAAGTTTAATTATATTGTTAAAATAATGTAAAAATATTGAAACCACACTTTTGGAATAAAATATTGACACAAAGACAGAAAAATTAGTTTCGACATTTTCATAGTCTTCGCGCTAATATTTTGTTCCAAAATTTTAGTTTATTTTTTACGTAAAAAGAGCTAACACACGGTATTTTGTATTGTACAGTGCATACATTATTGTTTAATATTTCCTTTGGATGCTAAACTTCATGGTGTTTACTTAGGGATCTTGTAGAGGATTTTTCAACATTTTCTAGAAATCTCATGAAGAACTTTTAACATTTTCTAGACATTTTTAAATATTTTCTAAAGACCTTGTGAAGGAATTTTAGCATTTCATAGGTATCTCGTGAAATATTTTTAACATTTTCTAGAGATCTCATGAAAGTTTTGTAACATTTTCTAGACATCTCGTGAAAGATTTTTAGCATTTTCTAGAGATCTCATGAAAGATTTGTAACATTTTCTAGAGATCTCAAGAAATATTTGTAACATTTTCTAAACATCTCGTGAAGATTTTTCAACATTTTCTAGACATCTCTTGAAAGATTTTTCAACATTTACTATAAATCTCGTGAAGGATTTTTAACATATTCTAAATATCTCGTAACGGATTTTTCAATATTTTCTAGAAATCTCGTAAAAGATTTTTAAATATTTTGTAAAGGCCTCGTGAAGGATTTGTAACATTTTCTAGAGATCTCGTGAAAGATTTTAAACAATTTCTAGAAATCTTGCGAAGAATTTGTAACATTTTCTAGAGATCTCCTGAAGGATTTGTAACATTTTCTAGAGATCTCGTGAAAGATTTTTAACATTTTCTAAACATCTCGTGAAGGATTTGTAACATTTTCTAGACATCTCGTGGAGATTTTTTCAACAATTTCTTGATATTTCGTAAAGGATTTGTTAATATTTTCTAGACCTCTGACGTATGCTTAACATTTTCTAGACATCTCTCGTCGTGAATGATTTGTAACATTTTCTGACATCTCGTGAAGGATTTTTCAACATTTTCTAAACATCTCATGAAGGATTTGTAACATTTTCTGACATCTCGTGGAGGATTTTTCAAAATTTTTTACAGATCTCGTTAATAATTTTTACCCCCCCCCCCTCAGTGGCACATCGGTATGTCTGCGGACTTTCAACGCCAGAAACCGGGTTTCGATACTCGTGGTGGGCAGAGCACAGATAGCCCATTGTGTAACTTTGTGCTTAAATTCAAACAAACAAAATTTTGTAAAAAATTTTTTGAGATCTCGTGAGGGATTTTTCAACATTTTCTAAACATCTTGTGAATGATTTTTAACATTTTTTTACCGATCTCGTTAATATTTTTTTTACATTTGTTAGAGATCTCGCGAAGGATAATTCAACATTTTTAGAGGATTTTCAACATTCTCTTCTTTCATTCAACCAAAAGTCTCTTGAGTTATATTTGCTTTTCTGAATTTTATAAATAAATTAGCTTTTCTATAAAATATAAACAAAACAAACAATAAAAATTAATCGGAATTTAGTTGTATTTATGAAATCTGAAGCGATATATTTTTTTTTCTGTTTCAGATAGTTATAATTCTCAATTAGTTAGTAAGAAACATCAAGTCTCTTCAACAGTACAAATGATTTTCCTTTTTATGTTTATTAAAACTGTGTGTTATAGAGGGAATCTCAGAAGTTAGTTGATGTAAGCTGAAAGCCTACAGTATATACTCTAAATGTCTGCTCTGAAAATCGATACAGCACTGAAGATGTTTATTCCACATCATATCTACACGCTTATTAATGTTCATTGGCAAAGATACAAAAAAAGCAATTAATTTCCTCAGTGTTAGAATGGAGGGTACCCTATACATTCGAGTAACAGTAAGATTTAAGACTCGTGAAAATGCATGTACTATACAATTCTTAATTAATTAAAAAATATAAATCAGTTCGTTTTTCGTACTCAAGCTAAAGAGTATATACAATTTGTGTTTGAAAAACAGCTTTAGAAAATAAAAGATTAGATATAAAACGAATTATTACAGATTTTGTTAATACAGTAATACGATCAATACCTACAAATTAATTTCTGGTAAATTTGTTAATTACTATATTGTGAAAAACTATTTCAAAAGCGCTTTTAATCTCCATGGCGTGCCTCTGTCAGATTTTGAAAATAATATATATATATATATATTGTTGCGTCAG